TTATTGAAAATACGGGACCCTAAGATAGTACGCTAAAAATTAGGATCCTTAATAAGGTGTACCCCTAAAATGCGGAAACCCCCCCATATGGATGTTGCCGACAGCAAGGGATATGAAACGGCACATCCGCCGAAATTCCTCACGAGACCTGAAAGCCCAGGCCCTGAACCCTCCATAAGAAAGATCTGGGAGTTTCCGAAAAGAGGGGACTCTACTATGGTACCCTAAATAATAGGATCCTTCCTTCAAGGACCCCAAAGGAAGACACCCCTATTTTCGGAAACTCCCATCTCAGAACCCTCTAAGCACCCTGGAATACAAACTTTGAAGCCGGATCTTGCTACCTGGACGACGGGGAGGCATAGCGACCTCGGAAGAGGCTGCAATCGCATGGTTCTCCAAAGTAGGATCCGGTCAAAGGCCTTTTACATGCCTTTACCATTACCCTCTAAACCCTAAGCCCTAACCCTAAACCCTAACCCCAAACCCCGATTTTGCGGGTGGTCTGGCGCCTCTTCACGGAAGCTTCGGCTTTCCAGGAAGTGGCCCTGCGAGCTTCTGTCCTTCGGTCCTCCCCTTTGGGAATCCCGGCTTAACCGAAGCTCAACCACAGTTGCCTAGTACGACTCATTACACTATACTTCTAACAAGGAACCCCTAAGATAGTATAGGTACTACGGCCTCTTATAATAAGGACCCCCTAAAACAGTATAGGGGGGCCCCTATAATAAGGAACCCCTAAAATAGTATAGGTACTAAGGCCCCTAGTGTAAGACTCCGGTCCACGAATTAGGCCCGAAACCTCCGAGCTGGAGTCGAAAACTCGAAACAAAAGACTAGACCCAAGAGTAACCTAGGACTAAAAAGGGTGCCCTTTTTGGGTTTAAAGGGTGTTATAAGGGAACCTAAACCTGAAAAAAGGGAATAAGGTCCTCCTCTGGGTCCTAGAAGAAACAGTAGCCTCTGGGCGACTCGTGGCACTCCCTGCAACTTTGGTGCCGTGTCTGAGCGTGGGATTCAGGAGGCCGGATCACCCCTATCCCTGGGGATTGAAATAGCCGAAAAGCCTTACTGTATATAGTATGGTCTTTGGGCCCAAAAGCCTCAATACTGTATGTAAAGCCTTATAGAGTATGGTCTTTGGGCCCAAAAGCCTCAATATGTGAGTCCTTAGAGCCCTAGGGTCTCACACCTCCGCTTTCCAGGCTTTGGGTTCTGCCTGGCGTCTTATAAAGTTTAGTAAGATGCTGAACCACCTTCGACTATCGTTACAGCTACCGTGTTGACTATCATTATTGGGTTCGGGGGCCGAACTCGACCACTGCGATTTGCGCAGTTCAGGTCCGCCTTCCCCACGACATCACTATCAACTCTGGCGCTTAGGGGGCGTTGTCGTAATTCGAACCCTAAGAAACACCAGCCCCTTTCCTTTCACAAACCTATAAAACCCAATCCATTTCAGTGCTCTTCCAGAATAACATGAGAAATACACACGAGTGGGCGAGTTCTGAAAGAATGTTTTTTTTGTTTTTTTTGGTTTTGTTTTTTGGTTTCGACGCTTTGAGACACATTGGCTACGTGACAGACAGATCAATGAATCGCTGCGCGTTCCAAAAGAAGCCGATGCGTGTCAGTCGTGTGTTGCATCACATATATCGCTCATGCATCACTGGTCTCACTCATGCCGTATACAGTTTGTGATTCGCGGTGTTCCGTACTCAAGCCTAGTATAACCTAGTTCTATTTTCCGGTGACTCATATCTGCACAGCAGTCGCGATTCATGACAAGCTTCCGGTGGCCTCCTCAATACTTATTAAACTATCTTGGTTGGAAAGGACTGTAGTGATACAAAATGAAACTAGCGTGCAACCTCTCACCAACTGAACTAGTATCATTCCAACCACTATATTAAGTAATCTCTTTAGTCTTGTTCTCGACTAGGCTTAAACATAAGAACCACTGAGATATAATGATGTAAGCCTTCACATAACATCACTAGAACACACATGAAAAACTTAGACAACTTGATTTGTATTAACCTCTACACACAGCTAACCTAGACCGTTCATGCCAATGCCACTACCTATAGCTGTTCATCTAGTGTTAGTAAGTCATTTTAATACAGCACAAGACAATACATATAATAGTCCTAATGGGGTAGCATTGATTGTACTTAATGGTAAGACATAATGAAAAAGTGCAACAACATAATAAGAGTCATGGAAATCTATATCAATAGCAGCACTAATTACCAAGTATAATACCGGTTGAACCACCTATTGTAAACAGAATATATGAAAGATATACTATAACAGTTAACATTAGTTGTGAAATAGTATCAGTAGACATGCATTACTTGTCCAGGGATGTAGAATACCAACTACATGATCGTAAAGAACAAGTTGGTAATGATCATATAACCAATGTATTAACCTGTAAAGTTAGCTCTTGTATCACTGTTGCATACTAGTTGTAAACATATGATGTGTCCAAACTAATTTATCCTAATAGACAAAGACAACTCATAGCCTCATAGCTCAGGTTATCCGATTATAGACAAGTTAACCAAAGACACTAAACATGCAATAAGCCAGTTATTGTTAAACTATTGGTTATCGAATGCTGGAAGGGTAGACTTCTGGATTCCCAAAGAACTAAACCAAGCATTGATAGAACATAGCATCACCTCCAAATATGAACCAAATGCTATTGTATTAAGTGCATATCTGTTAATAACCTTAATTAGTGAAGCATCGCACCTGTTAAGATTGGTAGAACTATTAATAAGATAGATGATGTAGTCCTAGCTGATCTAGTTATATGTTGGTTATGTAGCTTAACATCAACCTAATGATTGCACAATGTGACAAGTATTACAGAAATTATATAGATGTTAATGTTGATGACAGAGCTGATATAGTTAAACTATAGATAATAAGATTGATGCCGCGCACATACACACGCACACACAATTCTCAGCATATTCCTAAAATATGCAAAACGCAGCGGTCGACTTCGACCCCGTAACCCATTAGTGTTGTATCTATCTGTCAATTACTGTAGTTCTTGATCCTTCACTCGCCGTCTCTGGTCTTTCGAAGCCTCCTACAGCAAGTCCGAGCTGCAAACCAAACACAGCTGGGTCACTGACAGCTTTCTTGGCTGGTCCCTTGGGGCGTGCCGACCAAAAAACGCTGCCCTCCCTGCAGCACGAAAGTCTCGAAGTCTGTGTGTGCAGAGTGCTAAAGGCTATGCTCCAGACTCTATCACTGCCCGGGGATGTGGCTGTGTTCCCTTTGCTCAAACCAGATCGCGAAACGCAGGCTCCAGGTTCTGAGATGCTAGACCCGAAACCCTAAACACCCCAACTTTGTCTTGCTTGCTGCAGCTCCTGTCTTGAGCCAGGCAGAAGCCAAGGTGTCTTCTTCGCAGGGCAGCTCGGCAGAGCGGTGCAGAGAAAATTTAAGTGTCCAGAGGTCTGATGTGTCTTTGCTTCTCGCTGGTGGTCAGGACTTGGGAACTTGTTCTCGAAGGAACTCGCGAACACATGCACAACAACCACGCATTGGCTACCATGCTGTAAGTTTGCTGCATACCATGTGGCACAGCATGGGTGTCGGCCTGTGGTATATATACCGCAGCCTGTCTCTGCTCCTGCAACGCACGCCTTGTACTGTACCCGATTTTGAAGCATAGCATGGGTTCTGTGGCCACAGTAAACCCGATATTCCTCCTTTTCTCGCTTCTAGTCTTTGCAATGTGGAGTGCCGCAGTGGTGGCACGCGGTGAGCGGCAGTGTATGACAGAGGTTAGAAAGAGTGCCGGTACCACAGGCATGGGATCGCAACCCCCATGCCACCGCCAGGCTTGGCAGGTCTTGGTGCGGGTTTGCCACTGTTCCGCTTGCTATTTCTGTAGTTATCTTTAGTACTACGATCATTTTTCATGATTTTTATGGCTATTATTCGTGCTTTGAATCCTGGGCTCTGAAATGGAAAGCCTGAAGGGCTCCTAGCGCCCCTGGGTGAGGGTAGCTGAGGATGGGGGTGAGCAGGTCTCGGTATATTTATGTATATTTCACTCCGTCCTTCCGATTCGGGGGCGGGGGGGGGGGGGGGGGTTTTGGGATTGACGGTGTGGCATCAGAGAATGCTGAGAACAAAATGATCCCAAATCCGAGGCCCCAAACCCTCAATACAGGGTTTTGGCTTCGAAGCTTGCTTCCCACACGGTAAACGGAAAGCAAGAAAGTGCCCGATCTGAAAGTGACGAGACACCTGGCAATTGAACCGAGAACAACTGGCGTGCGATGTTCAGGGCTTCAGCTTACAGTGTTCTGGAGCCTGCCTGTTGTCGCACTTTGCATGCAGGAGAGAGGATAAGTCGCAGCATCCTTACTGCCATATAGAAGCTTATATATATATATATATATATATAATTACCAATACTATTCCTCAGGCTTGCTCATAAACCGCAAAACCCTATTTTCAGTGTTCTTATTATCCATTCATTACACGTTTACGGCGACCCTTCCAGAGCCTTCAGCTGAACCCTCAGAGCGTTAGAGGACCCTATGTTGATGAGTAGGCCACCTAACTTATTCGCAACCGTCTTGGGGCAGAATCATTTAGCGAATCTTCCGAACTGCGCGCCTTCAGCTGCAAGCACACAGCAAGGGCCTAGACCTGAAGACTAAAGCCAGGCCATAACACATAAGTCGCTATAGTCGGATTCTCATCTATCTTTAACCCGAATTGTGCAGCATGAACCGCAAAACTCAACCTTAACTTGCTTCGGGCCTTCAGCTGGCTCTCTTCTTTGGTATGGGATGTTTTGCTCGTGCCCTCTGCTTGACTCTGCCTCCCGAGTCTAGTTTGCCAGTTACCCTATGTGCAGTCGCCCTGACTCCCTCCTAAACCCTAAACCTTGCGAAACAAGAAGGCAGAACAGCTTCTGGTTTCTTCACGCCGAAGGCAGGCGCGTCGTGTGGCCGAGCTTTCTATGCGCACTTAGTGCTGCAATTGCACCTAGGGGAGTAGTTCGTGTTGAATTCCGTGCCGCTGCGGTAGCCTTCCGGGCACTTGAAGGACAAGCCAGCAAAGCGGGTCAATTCTCTACTCTTTTCGCCAGCCAACCCTGGCTCCTGGAAGCACTCTCCCTGGTTTGGCTGCTTGACATACAAGCCCTGATCTGCGGGGCAGTGCCGAATGAAACTGTACACGAGGCACTCGGTCTCGAGTTTCTGAAAAGGAACTGTGTCTTTATCGCGCCATTTGGTCTCCATGACACGATAACCAATTTTCGGTACTTGCTCTTTTTGATCACACTTCCACTGCCATTGAGTCCCTTTGTTCCAAGTGAACCCTTGAGAGGACAATGAGCTCGGCAGTATATCCTCCTTCGCTTCTGGACTGACGGAGGAAAAAGTGATTTCCCCCTGTGGCCAAACCGGTCCATAAAGCCTTATCTGTGTGTTGTAGATTGTATAGTTGCCCCGAAGGACACAAGGCTCTGCTGACAAGCCCGTGACGCCCGTCGGCAGGCAGCGCTCTTCTTCCTTGACTGCCGCCTCCTCGCAGCAGCAGTCCTGAGGGTCATGATCTTCAACATCACAGTCAAAGTCAGAGACCGTCAACAACGACGACAACGGAAAGAAGATAACCCTTTCTGCAGACGCAGTGGGGCTCTGAAGCCACAGACCGAGATAGGAATGTTGCCGGCCAAGCTGATTGTGGTCAGGAAGAAAATAACGATCTAACTGGATGTGGCCTTAAGAAACGAGACTTGCCATAACAAGCACGAAACACCTTAGCAATAACAGTAGCACTGCAGGGGCGATCACTGGTCTCCTGCTCCGAGGTGTGCCGGAGCAAGCACGATCTCGCAGTGTCTTGCACCAGCCGATCCCATGGCCCCGAACATTTAGCCTTGACTTTGCCAAACCACTTCAACGCGAAAGTGTGAACGTCGGAGAGGCCGTCCACACGGGAGCCATCATAGTCTCTGCCCGCATGGATGTCTGCAATCTGAAACTCGGGTGTTGACTTTCGGAATGTCCGCTTCGTGGCCGAGGTAACATTCACTCTAAGGACCATGGTCACCTTCGATACATACAAGCCACGGTCACCTTGACTGCTCTGGAGCGCCAGTTTGAACTAGCTTACCCACTTGTGGACAACCGATTCAATGAAAGACGGCTCAAAATCGAACGAGGCGCCCGAGTCGGGTAGACGGCAACATGCTTCACTTGGCACAGGTCGGGTTTCTTCCTGGCACAGACCGGGAGTGGGCTGCCGGCCATAGCCCATGCCGACCCAGGAAAGCATCGATGTCCAAGCGAGCTTGCAGCACCTGGGCCGACAACATCATGGAGATTGTCTGCGATAGTCTTCACAAAACGCAGGCCTGACCTCCGAGTCTACAATGCAAAGCCGCGCTTGGCGTGCGCAGTAGAAAAGAAACGTGGATTGGCACATAGGGTCGAGGCTCAGTTTGCGAGGTACTTCCATCTCCGATCAGGCATGCCCTAAACCCTAAACCCTAAAACCCTTGCGTGTGTAGCAGGTTACAGCTTTGGGACCGAAGAAAAAGCACTTAAATGCCTTTCCCCTGCAATGTCACACGCAATTGCTGAGCCACTCCGTGAGCCCTATACACTGTATACATATGCATGTGCAAAATACCCCTGCAACAAGCTCCGTGTTTTGGGACGAAGCAGCATCGGAGGACATTAATCCCTGAGCTGCTTCATCATACTTCTATGTATTGGGTCATAGGTTTGCCAGAATGATGCAGCCGCGCATGTGACCACATCATATGGGAGTTTCCAAAAAATGGGGACCCCAATATAGTACCCTAAATGGTAGGATCTCTATAACAAGGACCCCCAAATAATGGCCATTTCAACAGTCCGACTGTTGTGATGAAAGGTTCGGTAAACCACTGGCGAAGAGCTCATAAGATGAACTGGTAAATTAGATCGGCCACCAACTTGCGAAGATCATTCGAACGCCAAAAACCAACAAACTACTACATTACATAGACGCACACACATAAACTAAGTGCCTCCCTCAATGGACGGAAAGTGCCTCAACTGCCTGAACAATGTGACGGTTCTTCATTAACCAAGGGTTAGCTTCAGCACTCACAAATGGGACATGCGTGGCGACGTTTCGAGTACAGCGAAGGCACATTGGCCAGAGTATGGCGCAAAAAGCACAAAAACAACTCCACTGCAACCTTTGCGGCAGTAGCAAAACAAAGTTCTCTAAGGGTTTCAGGTGAGGGAGGTCGGGGCCCCTACTCAAGATCCGTGGTATATCAGAAGTTACGGCGCCCCGGGTCTCGATTGACCCAAACCAAGTCGGCAAACAACAAGTCCCGCAAGCTCTCAGGGAGCCAGTTTTCGCAACCATACGAGTATGTGAAGCATAGTCATCTATTACTTGTACAAGAGCACTAACCATGCCACGCTGCCAATAGCTGGGCTATAAGTGTACACAGCGCACAATGAACGACAATCAGCATTGACAGCGGCTGCAAAATCATCGACCTCATCACGTTTGTGAGAAAATATCTCCATCCTTATTACATCACGCTTTCTATCACCTTCATCATTGCCATCGCTGTTTTGCTCACATAGCCATATTCATGACAGCATGACGACACGGATAACAAGACCAATCAGGGACGCTAAACTAAGCCGCAGGTTAACCGAGCAGCAAGGGATCCTGTCCATCGCTGGCATCGTGGAACCAGCGGAGACGATCCGGTTTTTCGTCCGAACCTGCCCTGGTCATATGGGAGTTTCCGAAAATAGGGGACCCTAACATAGTACCCTACATAGTAGGATCCTTATAATAAGGATCCCAAAATAAGGTACCCCCCTAATTTTCGGAAACTCCCATATGCACACAGCGGCAGCTCGAGGAGCAGTTGGAACGGTTTAGGGTGTCGGGGAATTTCAGAAAATCAAGTGGTCCGAATCTTAGACCATGACTGACAGGATAGGATCCTTACTATAGAGATGTGTAAAGCCATCCCGAATCTAAACCTTCACTGGTGCTTTGGGCTCTAGGGTTTTGTCGGTGTGAAGGGTCTTCGAAGGGATAGAAAGTGTGGTTTAAGTTTAAGTGTCATGCCAAGAAAGGTCTTCATCCATCCTGTGGTTCATCTCATAACATTTCTGGCAACCTGCTCTCGACCGGTGCAGGCCCCCTGCTTCGAGTGGAGATAGATACTTCTGCCCGCGTAGCCAGCACAGTACATAATGGAACAAAACCTTTGACATCGCAGCTGATCCGATGAGGCCCTGATGCTGAAATATAAAAAGATCTTAACTCTAACAAGTAGAAGCCTAAAAGTTGGAAACCCAATAGCCTCGATCCTTAATCGGAATGTATAGGGAATCCCAGCACTATTTGGGCCTTCATCCTGTTTCCAACTTTATGGGGTTTAAACCCCTTTTTTTTGAACCCGTACTGAGGCCGATGCGTGTGACGTTAAACCCCTAAACCCTAAAACCCTCTCATTTACTGTAACTCCAAACACATCAATTCCTGTGGGTCTGAAAGCCCCGAGCCTGGCCTGTCAGTGCAGTCCGAGTCAGATTTGACCTTGGGCCGTCTCTAGGTCCCTTCTTAGGGGCTAAGTACCCTGGCCCCCCAAAACAGGCGAAGCTTTTCAGTTCTGGTAGGACTGGTAGGATTAGGTACGAGAAGTTAGAGCATTGGGATCCGGATGCTGTTCTGCACTTGACTTCTGCGACTACCTACTGTCTATGCAGAAGTCAGCAGAAGTACCAAAAGATCTGGCGCCGGACTTACCACTGTTGCTTCTAACACAGTCATTCTCATTTCTCGTCGGTTTCTCGCTACTTACAATCGTTCTTATCACTTTGTCCACCGACATTAGCTTCTGCTGTTAAATGCTCACTATTCGATCGCGACCAAGGAACAGCAGTCATGATTCGTGTACCAGAGCAAGGACAAAACATCTTGCCACTGATCTGCTTGCAAGGGGCTTTCTTGCAATAGCAGCCGAGCCCTTCGTCCCAGGCAGGCTCGACTCCCTTAGCTGCCGCAGTCACCTCCACACGGGCTGCCCAGACCGGGACGCTGAAAAAGCACACCAGCAGACGGAGTCTGCGAAAAGGAAGCATATCGACATGTCTTTTGCAAGGAACAAGTACTCCCCAAGGGCTTGAGCCAAACAGCATGCGTACCGCACAGTGGAGCTCAGAAGCACCAACAGCCTGCTTGTGTAGTAACTAGGTCCCATGATATCACTCTCGGCTCAATGCTGTTTCCAGTAACATCTCCCCAGTTCCATGCTATAGCATACAGCCCAAAGTTGGGTTCTGGGGTCAACGAGTTTTTTTCGCGGGGAGTTCTCAAAATGTAGCGAAACCCAAACTAACAGGCTCTGATCCCCCTAGTCCAATACCCCAAACCCAAAACCTTGGGTACTGCCCCCATACAGTAGCAGTCGATAATAGGGCTACTGTTAAGGGCCCAAAATATCCATATTATAGAGAGTATCCAACGAGTGGGGGCAGTACCCAACCCAAACCCCGTAAGCCCCCAAGCTCTGATGTGTCTTCGTCTCTCTTTGGTCAGCACTGGCCCCCAGGGGAACTTCTCTTTAGGGTTTAGGGTTAAGGGGTTTAGGGTTTATAGAAATCTTGCGGCGGGTTCAGTTTCAGGACTCGCACTCGGACTTGACTACGCGAGTTTCCTGGTACATCGGAAGCACGTTGGCCACAGCTACGGCCGATTAACTGCGGGTCTAGTTTAGGGGGTTCGTTACAGGGGGTATAAGGTAGTCAGGGTTTACAGTTTTGGGCAGCGGGGTTAAAGTAAGTATGCTGACAACAGAGACGTTTTTCATACAAGTAGATATTGCTTACCATAGCTGTGAGCAGTTCGTGGCATGCCAGATAGCATATCATGGTGTTCGGGCTCTGGTATACCCTAGCCCTCTTTTAGTGCTCCAGAGAGGCTTTTGTGGTAACCCTGATCTGCCTGGCCTTCCTTATAAGGGCCCCAAAATAAGGTACCCCTATTTTGATACTATAAGGGATCTTTAGGGGGATCTATAAGGGTTCTATTAGGGTTCCCCCCTCCCCATATTTGCCCCTGCGATACAGCGCACCGGGGCCTTTCTCCGGCTGCGTCTTCTCCGGCGCGGAAATGAAACTAAACAGCTTCGTCTGACAAAGCAGAAGTAGTCCAAGTAGTCAAAACAGACTGGCAGCTGTCACAAATTCTGCGGAGTGTGAGACATGGCTGGCAATGCCAACTGAACACCTACGAAGATGCCTGGGCAGCAGGAGCTCCGATCTTCCACCAGAATACGGCTCATCCGAACCCCTGAACCTCCTCCCTTAATTCACAGCGCAGCCTCGGCCGCTTCGTGGCTCCCGATGACCGTGGCGCCCACTGTGGGCTCGGCAACGGAGCCTCAATCTGTGCTGCGGTCTTGAGCAGCCATGAATGTGACTAACACAAAAAGCTTGCAGGTTTAAGCTTCACGGCGGGCCTTTGTTGGAAGACGCGTCTTTCATATACGTATGTATATACAAATATATATATATATATATATGTACCATATACACATGTGTTATGTTCAATTCTGTTCCTCTTGAAACATACAGTGCTAAATTCATGGGGTTGCTTGTGCATCCTGGAGGCCGTTTCCACTCTGGCCTTTCTTGGCCTTCGTCTTCTTCACTGTCGTCTTCGTCTTCCTGCTCTTCTGTGATCCGGACGCGAGCGGTGTCGAGCCAGTCTCAGCATCCTCCGCAACTCCGGCTGGCTGTGCGTTGGGATCAGGAGCCTGCAGGGCATCGCCGTCCAAGCACGAAACTCCGGGCAAGCCAGCACCTGCGGAAGCACGAAGAGGAGCACTCAATGCTTGCAAGCCATGCTCAAGCGAAACATGTGCTCCTCCTAGAGTCCTAGAGTCCGGGCTACCTGACTCAATAATAGATCTCCTGACATGTGTATCAGGTCAAGCATCCAAACACCATCATGCTGGCCTTTCTTGGCTTTTCTCTTCACCATCCTTGGTTTGATATCCGCGACTTCTTGCTCCGCCGTAGGCGTAGTTTCGGCCTCGCCCTGGACAACTTCAACCGCTTCAACGGCAGAAAGCACGAGGCACTGGGAGTCGCCTCGTTGGCAGGTGCCAAATTTCTCTTCTTGTCCAGTCAAAGAATCGCACAGCCCTCTCGTGCTCAACTTTAGATCGGCCAGCCTTCGTCAGCCGGTATGACACTAAGGCAGCATCGGTATCTGTGAATGGGCTGCAAGTTCCAAGACAAAAGCGACTTACATCTTGTTGCTGGGATCACAGGCCTCTGAGCTTGCATGAGCTGTCCATCAGCTCGACATTGGCCACTTGCAAGGCTGAGCCGGTGAAAGAAGCCTCTGGCTCTGCCTGACAGGGGCTTGATCAGGGAGAGTCTGGGGTCAGCTTGGGAAGTGGAGCTGTCGAGGACAGAGTCTGATCAGTACGCAGCGTAAGGGTGCATCTGTTTGTAAGTTTTGGTGGGAATGTTGAAGGAATCCTTTTGACAGTTATCCGGGGTTTGGATCGTTTTTTCAGCTTCACTGATCAGCTGCAGGTAACTAGCAATAAGCTCAGAGACTGCACAACTAGTCGGCTGAAATTTGTAAGCCAGCGTCCCCGTCTTCAATCTAGGAATAGTGAAGAACACCGCTCCTCTGAGGTTAGAGTTTTGAAGCTTTGCTCATGCGTACATACTTCTTACAAGAGAGCCGGGGTCGCAACCTACATGCCCGCAGAACGGGACCAAACTTTAACGGAGCAGAGCCCCAACGCTCTTACGGCCAGCCGTGGGCAAACACATCTTAGTGCAACCCGTGTCTTAGAGCCATGTCTCCAGGTCAGCGGCCAATGCCTGGCCTGCAGCATCTTTGATGGTCTCACATCGACGTCTGTTGCGCCGCTATCCTGTTGCAAGTCGCCTTTGCGAAACTCCCGGAGTTTGCCAGTCTCCCGGTCGAAGCAGAAATGGCGGATGGTGTAGATACAAATGTTGAGAAGCAGCAGGCCGAAGATTCCGGCTACTTCCGATGTGGGCACATGGCCGCAACTGGTTCTCGCGACGAGAAATGCCACAAGCGCAAAGATCGCCGATTCCAGCCAGCGGATGATCAAACAAGGCCAAGCCACCATGGACCAGAAGTTGTGGTTTATTGTGAAGTAGGCAGGGACGAGGTAGATCATAAAAAAACTCCAGGGATAGAAACACACCACGCCAACTATGATGCTCAAATCCAGGCGGTCTCTGGCTTCAGCTGCAACCACCCACACGCAGGTCGCCAAAGAGCTCGAAGCAATCACTGCGATGCCGTAGGGGCGCGCGGAATGAGAAAGCACCAAAGCAAACCCAGCAGCTCTCAAGGCCTGGTCGGATGCCAGCCATAAGCCAGTCACCACTGAGTAGATGGGGCTTGCCACAGCAAGCCCCATCTCTTTCTTAAGTGTCTCCATGATGCCACGGCTGAGGGACAAAACAGAGATGATGACTGAAAGGATTTTCACGGGATCCCCGTGAGAGCCGACAGCAAAAAGGATGTATGCCTGAAGATAAAGCTGTGGAGCACTTTCTAGCAATTTGGCTGCTATCTCTCGGTTCTGCCGGCCTCTAGCAAAGAATTGATCATCCTCCATCTTGGGGATGCCGAGGTGGCACACCACTGCGATGTCGAGGAGATAATGAACCTGGGCTAGTGCCAGTACGAACAAAATGAAGAGAAGCAGGCCAATGGCAGGTACGGCGTAGTAAAATCCGCAATGTCGCCTGATAAAAGGAAACCATTCTCTTTCCATCAGGCTAAATGCCCCAAAGGTCCACAAATAGCTTTGAGCCAGATCGGAGCCGATAAGCAGGAAGAGGCCAATGCCAAACCACCACGGGTGGGCCTGGCAGCCCTGAAGCTCCTCCGCTTCGCCGCAGCCCGTGCTCACAACAGAATCAATGATGCAGCCGTACTGCAGGACCACGTACCAATCAGAGAAAAAATCGGCCATGTTGAGACAGGCTGTGAACAAGGCGTTAAGGATGAATTTGGCGAGCGACGGCGGGCTTTGCTGGATAGGAGAATCAGTATTTTTGTTCAACGCTTCGTCAGCACCAGCAGCACCACGCGTCTCCACCTCCACGGCCGCTTGCGAATCCGCTGACATTTCCTTCGCTGTCGACTACTATCGTCACTTGCTAACTCTAACCATTCAACGCCTACACTCGGCAGACATACTTGCTCCTAGTCCATCACTGCACAATAAAGCCATGCACATGACTATGACCAGAATGCGTTTCAGTGCTGCCACAGCTCGGCATTTCCTACAGAGCTTTTGTGGAACTCGTATGGCAGACTCTTGAAGGCCTCTGCAGCTCGAACTCTATCCAAGCGTCTTCTGTCGGATCCAAGCCCAAGTCACGGAGGAGCCGTAAACAGCAAGCACCTCCCGAAAGCTGCAGCAGAGGGCAAGTGTTGTATCCGTAGGCCGTAGGTAGGCAACGTTCAACTATGTTTGAATGCGGAGTTGCACGTCTACAGTTTACAGATGCTCCCTGTCTTCTTCTTGAATTCCTGTTTCCATTTCTGAACATATGTATATATATATATGCATATACATGTGTACTGATATTTATATGTATAATTACTCATCCATATACACAATGACCGATGTTGTTTTGAAGTTTTGAACAGAAAAATACATGCTCGACGTTGTCGATTCGTACTGGCTCGTAGCTGGCAAACAGAACCATGGACCTGTCTTGAAGCATCCGGGCCATCCGAGCCAACTTCGGAGTCTTTCTTTATGGTTCTTTGTGAATTGCACCGGCGTCCATCCCTACAAACTGCGAAACCTACGACTTCTACCCCTGGCATGTCTGTAGATTCTTGTGTGCGATCCCCTGCCTAAACCCTTTTGCAACAGGCTTCGACTTCGCCCGGAGTTAGACACAAGCAGCTCTGGCAGCTTTACTGCGGAGCCCTAAACCCCAAACGCCAAGCCCTAAACCCCAAAAACCCCTCAACCCTCCTCTTATTGAAAAAGCCGCCTCCAAGTCCAGCAATGGCTGCCGGCCTCAGTGCGAACTTAGGGTTCTCGCACAAGGCAGGCATGGCTCTAGGGTTTAGGGTTTAAGGGTTTCGGGCCTCGAGGTTTTGGGCACTTTGGGCCAGGCATGGAATGGAATCGAGGCGGGCCTGCCGGAAATCTTTACTATGGAACGTGACTTGAATGAGCATCGAATACCATGTCTCCTATGCCTGGCAGCTCCAGGCTTACTCTCGGCTGTTCGTCTTCTTGTATGGGGACTGTATATTGGTATATTTAGTGAATATACCAATCGAAAGTCCTCAATTACCACTTATTATTCCTATCTCTGAGTTATGCAAATGCTGCATGAGGAGCTGTCGACATGAGGTCGCGATGTGCGAAGACACGCATGGCTCAGGATGAGCTCACGACACTGGAGCGTCGGGCTGATCTGTGCAACATGCGCTTGATAGCTACTACAGTTGACAATCGACAATCTCGTGTCGGACTTGTGCCGAAGGCTGCAATGAGCGGAGGTCGAGCCTTGCAGCCCGGGGAGCTGGGCCGGTCATGGTTCCATGGGTGCATCTGGTTTTTCAACTAGGGAGTTCATGGTTTGCGCATCTCAACTTACATCTCAGCTCAGAGTGCTTTGACGGTTCTGGCTATTGGTTGCGGCCTGAGCCTTTGGCATTTCTGAGCAAGGAGTCATTAGCAACAACAATGAGAACAACAACCACAACCACCAGCACAACCAGGACGACGAAAACGTCGAACACGGCACCACCAACACCGCTACAACGATGACAACACAATACTGGCAACTAGAACAAGAAGAAGACGGATGATCATGATGATCATGTGGACGTTTATGGTGATGATGATGCTGAGGACGATGTGATAACGAAGAAGCAGCTGCTGATGAACTCTGCAGCAGTCTACCGTCGTTATAATTCTGATTTGGAGTGCTTTATGGTGCTGAGCTTGACCTTCAAGGCGATCACCACCCAATCAGTTTCGTTGCCGTCTTTGCCATCGCATGCGTGGCCTGAAGAGAAGACCCTTGCCAAGCTTGGCAAAAAGACCTGCTAGCTTCGAGTTTAGGGTTTAAGGGTTTAGAGGGGTTTAGAGGGGCTTTCGGCGTAGGGGTGTATGGTTTAGGGGCTTCTATCAACTTGACCAGAATACCCGCAAGGAGGTCTCACTCTAAACCTTTCAGGACATCCCGGCGCTGACAAGGGAAAGCTTTTTCCAATCCGCACCCTGGCCTGCATCTGGAGCCTGATTTGCTGGCTGCAAATATGAAATGGAAACCAAAGCTGCTATGCAGTCTATGCGACAGGCACCAGGCAGGCCATTTCTCAGGGTTTCGGAAACCACGCGGAGCAGGCGGGGCAAAGTGAAGAGTACCGGCCTATATGGCACCTGCCAATGTCAACGGTCAAAGGCATCATTTCCATGCTTCATGGGCGGCGAGGCTTGGGAACTACCCACCTGCATTTCCACGATAAGTGCGGCCACGATAGAATACACAGGCACCTCCTGCCACAGAATTTGGAGCAAAAGAACCTTGCAAGCGTCAGCCCGACTCTCACGTGTGGCAGAAGGTGGGCCTTTGCAAAAGGAGCCTCTGGCTACAAGAGTGACCAGGCGGAGCGGCGACGGGTTGCAGAGTCGGCAAGCCGTCGGCCCTTGTAAAGAAGGTGAAACGTGGTGAGATCTCCAACTGGTGCAGGACGCCTCTGAATTCAAAGACTTGTGCATTGATTGCGGCGTACTCCCTGCCTGCAGCAGGCAAAGGCTGACTGCCGAACGTAGGCATCTTTTTGAAAGACACTACGCCATTAAAAGGAGGGACCCTTAATAAGGACCCCTAGGTATATACCCGAAATATAGCTATTATATACCCATCATATAGCCCATTATAGGGTCGGGGTTTCAACCCCTCTCTCAGGGCAGTTGCCCTGCTGCAGCCAAGGCCAACTTCACCGTGCTGCGATCAGCTTCGTCCTGACTGTGTACAGGCGTGGGGGACCCCGACCCTGCAATGGACTATATAATGGGTATATAATAGCTATATTAAGGGTATATACCTAGCTGCGCAATCCAGTTTACTACACTTTGTCGGCGAAGGCTAAATGGAGGTGACGCAAGGGCTGCCTAAATTTCTGACTTGCTAGACTCTCAACAAATGCCAAACAAAGTCACTTGCTGTAGTGACGTTCGCTATCACAAGACAGCTGCTATCTCTTTTTGCGCTATGAAGAACCGTCGGGTTGCAAAACGCACCATCGTTTCCTGCACTCCTGAAACATGCTCCCTACAACGGCTTGCCACGCTAGATCACAACATATTAAAACTGAGGAGACCGCAGCGAAGTCAGCCGGCTGGAGGCAACGGTGCTGGCAAAGCATCAGGTACCTGAATGGATGGGGGGTCCTACTGCTTTCGCTCTTGTCAGCCTTTGTCCTGAAACTTGTCCGTGCAAGCACGTATCCGCAAACGTGGGGAGCTGTGAGTGCTAAGTACTAGCAAAGCAGGGATCAATATTTGCATATGCTGAATGGAATGCAATGTTGCTGAGGCAAACACAAATACCACCAACGTGACATAAACAACAGGCGTCGTTCCAGTCCTCATCCTTATTATGTCCTCATCACTTTCACCAGCAATGCCAGAAGCGGTTTGATTTCTGTCGGAATGATCCTCATCATGACCATGACCATCATCAGCAGCATCCTTATCAACATTACGAATTTCATCACCACCGTCTCCAACATTACTACCATTACCGTCGCCATCTGTATCGACGCCCTATTCATGTAAGCATCTGCAACACTTTCAATCGAAAGTGTCATTCCCACGAGCCCCAGTGCGGGGCCTCCGACGCTCCTGTCCTGGGCCGCTAGCTTGACGTTTTCAAGTTTTCGCACACCTCACGCACGAAAAGAATAAAGAAGCTTCATATCAACCCAAAACGGCGTCAAGCCCTGATCCGTTCAAGTCCACCGTTCAGGAGTCGGCAGGTTGCGGGTCAGCCCCGGAGGAGTCTGAAGTCTGAGGTGCAGATGTTTGCTTCGGAAGTTTGCTACTGCACACCGAGAACCCCATGCCTTGCGTTTTGGACCATCTCGTAAATTGCACGCATGATGTTTCCAGACAGGAGGAATCACAACCGCACTGAGAGTTCAAGTACGAAGAAAGAACGAGAAACACACTCATCACAACTACAGTACCGGATTTGGGGGGCAGTTCTAAACCCACAAGCCCCTTAACCCTAAACCCCCTAAGTCCTCAAACCCTAAACCCAGGGAATGGCCTCCTTTGGGATAGGAATTGTCAGAAGGCTCTGCAGCTGAAAGGGGAAAACCCTGGTTTTGGGAGACTCCAACCCTCAACCCTAAACCCCTAACCCTTAAACCCTAACCCCCAAAAACCCCTAATCCCTAAACCGCCCCAGAGCCTGCAGCTTAAGGGATTCAATGTCAAGTTACCATACTCAGGAAACTTTTTTTACTATAGATCCCTATTCTGGCAACTTAAATCAAAATTCCTTGACAAGAACCCAGAATACGATCTTTAACTCATCGAGTAAGTCGACGGACCCCGGGGTCCTCAGCGTAATCTTGCGGAGTAATGTGGGAGTTTCCGAACGTCCTTATCACAGGGATCCTACTATTCATAGTGTTATATTAGGGTTGCCTAATTCGCTGTGCAACTATATCATACCACAACCCCAAGCCGTTTTCCAAGCATGAGGCCTCTACATAAATCCCGCTGTCAGACCGCATTAAAGCCCAAAAACCCTACAGAACCCTCAACTCCAATCCCTATACCGCTTTTCATCACATATATGCACAAGCATCCGCATGTAAAATCGAAAGGCCACAGTCTACATCCCTAAGTTCAAAAACAACAAAATTGCCCCAAAGCTCCAACGGCCACGAACGGTGTGAAACCGAGGCCCCTGGCGCGCTGGACGGCGGCAAAGGTGCTGCGAATGCCTTCAAGGGGTTTCGGCGCTCACGCTCGTACACCAGGCGAGGATATTGGTGCGCAGTCGGATGAGGTGAAACCTTGTTGAGGAGGTGCTGTTTTCAGTACAGTCTCGACCAAACACCCAGCAGCTCTCACAC